GCCATTTAAGATGAAGCCCCCATGCTGTCACATTCTGGGAGCTCTCAGCTGTTCCTGTCTGTGGGAAGTCAAAAGGTCAATGGCTTACAGATTGCAGTTTGCACTGTGGACCCAACCTTGGTTCCTGAGAGCCCAACATCTTTTGTCTTGATTCTGTGGTCAAGATCATAACCACATTTAAGATTTGCTTTTTCTTAAGGGACAAGTATAGAGTTCCTCCTACTGAGGGATCAGTGCACAAATTTAAATGTGGTCAAAAGAAATGATTCTTGCCTGAGATTAAAATATAGAGAGTAGCTTTATCCATGAGGTGTGTGAAGAGCATCAACCTGGGCCCAGGAATGACACCTGGGATTCTCACACAATGAAGGACCCCATGCACCCTCTCTCTGAAGCCTGGTTCCTTTTATTGCCACCTGGTGTTTAATTTACCACCAGCTGCAGGATGTGATGTGGTGTTTTGAAAGTAACAGATATTGTTACTTTAGTGGTTACTTCAGTGAAGTGGTCCCATGTATCTGAGATGGAGCTAAAAGCAGGTTTTAATCAGAATTAAACAGAACAGGGGGCGCCTGGGTGGCTCAGTCGGTGAAGCGTCCGACTCTTGGTTTCAGCTCAGGTCATGATGTCAGGGTTGTGAGATCGAGTCCCGTGTCAGGCTCCGTGCTCAGTGGGGAGTCTGCTTCTCTCCCTCCACTCCTCCCCCAGCTTGCTCTCTCTCTCTAAATAAATAAATAAATATTTTTAAAAATCCTTTAAAAAAGAATGAAGCAGAACAAGATCCCGTGGTGAAAATCTAGTCTCCCCTCTAAGTTCACGATTAGGACCCTCAGCAAGTGTGTTCAGTCTATTGCTCCTAGACAGTGATGGTGACATATGTAATTGTGGCAATGAATCCTTTCTGCCCGAACTTTAGGTTTTTCAAATGTGTCAGATGGAGAGTTGCAGGTTTTGGGCTGAGTTTTCATGAAGCATCATATAGTTTTCATGGAGTTGTGAGAAAAAAGTTCATTCTGAGCAATCTGCAAAGCAGAGGTAAACCATATAGTCCTTTAAAAATAAGGCTCCTGGTTCTGAATTATGCAGTAAAGCTAAAGTTTCGGGTGCCCCGCTGTCTTGGGAATTTTCTCCTACAGCAGATTACGGGGAGGCCCGGAGGGGGGAGTTCAAGGAGGGGGCAGAATAGGAAAAAATGAAATTATAACAAGAACTAAGTCTTCTCATTTCAAGGCCTTAAGAAAAAAGATTTAATTAGATAAACTTAGAGAATAAGTAGAAAATAAGAACAGCTCAGATTTATCCCACAAACATGGTTTAAACATCTCCATGTGCCAGACATCATGTTGATTTCCATGGATCCAGTGGGTGGGCACACCAGGCCTAGACCCACCGTCCTGGGGTTTTGAGAGACAATGATGTATTGTTAAATGCATAATTAGAACGAAGGTAAAGACATTGAAAGAAAAGACTGCACTCCTGTAACAGCATCTATGCAAGGCTGGAAGGAGTCTGGAAGAAAGCTTCTCCGAGGAAGTAATGCTTGAGCTTGGATCTGGACGACAAGGAGAAGCATGGCAGCTAGAGAGTGAAGGCATGTGCAAAGGCCCTGTGACAGGAGGGAAGTGGGTATGTTTGAGGAACTTAAGAAGGTCCAGAACCCCGGAGTGCAGGGAGGGAGGGGGAGATAAATTGGCAGTTACTGTAGTGATTTGTATATTATTTCTGAAAGTTTATGATCCCTGGAGAGGATACTGGGTATAAATATAGATGAAAACATGAATTTACTGGTGGCAGGACCTACAGGAGCTGGAATCTGGGGGGACACTCTTTTCCAGTTGCAGAACAAGCAGAGCAAAATGAGAGAATGCTCAAAAGAAACTACAAGGTGAGCTCAGCCAGGCTCTTAGGAGGGACAGGGTGTGATGGAAGGCATGGGCTGGCTCCCACCCAAATTATCGTACTGTGTCTGAAAAGGGGGTACTGAGAGGAAGGACCATGTAACCAGGGACCTGGACAATTTCAATTTTATATAGTGCTTGATTTCTTTTAAAAAATGTTTTCTGGGGCACCTGGTTAGCTCAGTCGGTTTAGCATCCGACTCCTGATTTCAGCTCAGGTCATGATCTCAGGGTCCTAGGATCGAGTCCCACATCAAGGTTCTGCACTGAGCGTGGAACCTGCTTGAGAGTCTCTCTCCCTCTGCCCCTCCCCCAATTTGCGCATGTGTTCTCTCTCTCAAAATAAATAAATAAATAAATAATATTTTCTAAGATAAGTAAAATGTTAACATTTGTTGATTATGGTACTGGATCTATCCCTATGTGTTTTATTATTATTTGGTATTTTTCCTATCTGTTTAAAATTTTTTTAATTAGAAGGAAGGGAGGGAGGGAGGAAGAGGGGGAGTAGGAGCAAAGGAGTGGCTACCACTGGCCTAAGAATCAGGGGCCTGTTCTCAGTTTCACATTAGCTTCGGCAAATCACTTCTGTGCTCCTGGGTCCTTACTTAAGAAAAGGAGTTTCAAAGAGGCTGATCTTGGCAGGCCCTTCTAGCTGTAAGACATTCTGTGTTTCTGGTTTCTAAGAACAATCAATTATTGAATCATTCTACTTACAGGTTTGGGAATTGAGTGTCCCATGTCCACAAATCCTCACTTTCTTTTAAAAGTAAGAGATCCAATCTAGCTTAGCTCTCTTGAAGGAGGCCAGTACATTGAAGTTCACTTGCTGAGGGACATTTCCGAAAGCCAGGAGCCCGCAGGATGCTTGCGTTCTTCCCAGGCCAGACTTGGGAATCTGGAATCACCTAGAAACCTGCGCCTCTCGCCACTCACCACCCACATCCGAGTGGTTTCTCTGCGGGTTTGCAGGGTACCTGCAAGGGCCGATCATACACAGTGAGACAGAATCCCATTCCCGTCCTTCCAAACTTCAGATGAGAAATACAGAAATGAGCAGGAAACTCCACAGACAGATCAGATGACAGCCACGTTCATGAGCCCGTGGACATCCGTGGTGACAAATGAAGCAATGCATTCAGCCACTGCTATACTGACTTTCTCCAGATGTCTCTGTGTGCTGAAACCAGTTTATGGGGGCGCCTGGGTGGCTCAGTCAGTGAAGCGTCTGCCTTCGGCTCAGGTCATGATCTCAGGGTCCTGGGATTGAGTCCCCTCATCGGGCTCCCTGCTCAGCGGAGAGTCTGCTTCTCCCTTTGCCTCTGCCGGTCCCCCTGCTTGTGTGCTCACTCGCACTCTCTCAAATAGACAATAAAATCTTTAAAAATAACTAAAACCAGTTTATGTATGGTAGATTGTAGCTACTTGATGAAAAAATGATGGTGCCGTGATAGTGGGGGTGTTTGTGAACATTGCTGGGAGAGTTGGCATCCTGGAACACAGGGGCATCCTAAGTGCTGCTTAGCGGTGACATCGGTGTGCACGACGTCGTCCCTCTGGGAGAGTGGCAGCTGGTCGAGGGGAGCCCTCACCCCACAGACAGCAGCGGAAGCCGGAGGAGAGGTGATGCAGGCCCCCTGCCTGGGCAGCAGCTCTTGCTGAGCGCATGGAATGTTCCCCAGGCCCTGGGCTCGTTTTGCTGCCTACTCCTCTCTCATGTGGGTCAGGTTTCCTTACAACCCGTCAAGTGAATGAGAATAAGAAAGTATGTGTTGGCAAAATTTCAGCTGAAAATGCCAAAGCTTTCCAAATAAGGGCATGAATTTAAGCAAAGTTTCAAGTCAATGGAGCTCAGAGTAATGGTTACGCCACTAATAATGAAAAGTACAAATGTTTTTATGTTCAAAGGTTAACAAATGGGACTCTTTCACTGGCCTGCTAGCCTGCTCAGTTACAAAGTAGAAACTGTTCCTGATCTTTGCTTTATTGCACTTGTATTTTGTAGGCAATTAGGAACATTTTCCATTCAGCATTTAAGAGGTTTGAGCTGGCTGCTGGCTCTTTTTTAAACTAAAGCTTCCTTCCTTCCTTTCTCTTTTCTTTCTTTCTTGCTTGCTTGCTTGCTTGCTTTCTTGCTTTCTTTCTTGCTTTCTCTTTCTTTCTCTTTCTTCCTCCCCCTCCCCTTCTCCTTCTTCTTCTTGTTAAACTAACATTTTCCCCTTTTGTAAGTGGACTAAGGTTTTAAAGTAACAGTCTTTCCAAATAGCACACTTAGACTTTACCTGCATAATTATTATATTTGTCATGGAATTAGCACTTCTCAAAAGTGTATTTCTACATGAGATTTTCATTTTGCTCAGACGTGTGCTTCTTCCTAGCACATCATGTGGATTTAGGTAAAACGGCCCCAGCCCGTCCACTGGAACCTCCGTTACAAAGGCAATCATTGCAAACAAAACAGAAGCCATGTATCTTAAAGAATGAGTAGGAAAATCAAGTCTGTTGAAATGATCTAAATCCTCCCAAAAAAGACCCCTTGGTAATCCACAGTGGCTGTATTTGTTTCTACAAGCTTCTCTTAGTCATTTGCGGACTGCTTACAGCAAACAACAACAACAAATAGTGTTTTCTTTAATTCCTCACATTCTCCATTAGCAGGTTCGCTTCTCCTTTAATAAATGATACCTTGGCCCCTCTCGTGTGTCAGCGTTTGGGGCCAGTCCTGGTAAGAAAGCTACCCTGGTTGATACTTCTGCTCAGGTCTTGGGCTGCAAACTGTGGATAATGGTTCATGCTTCCCTCTCCAAATGGACAGGAGACACTGGCTTAATTGAAACAGTGTCAGGGGGGTAATTTTATTCCATTATTTTTAATGAAAATGAGGAGGTCTCCAGGCTAAAACGCTGGAAAATAGCCTCTGAGAAGCCCAAATCACCCACAGCATGCATGCAGCGTGTCCCTGGCCCCCCCCGCCCCCGGGCACCCCCGCACGCCCCACCCCATGCTGGGGGCCCCTCCCCCCAACAGAGTGGTGCCGTCAGCCGTGTGCGGGAAGGGCAGTGTGCCACAGGTAACAAGCTCAGTGTCCATTTTCCTTGTCAGATCTCCCAGCTGATGACAGAGACAGGCCGGGAGGGGCTGACCGAGGCAGCGCTGAATCACTACAATGCGGACAAGCCTTCGGCCTGTGGCATCCCAGCCTCCCAGGGCTCCTGCGTGGCCAACGAGACTTCGCCAGGCCCCTCGGTGGCCGCTTCCTTCTTTGCCAGGTAAGAGAAGCATCCGGAGCTCACTTCTTTTGGGCCGGTCCATCTGCTTAGCCCCTCGCGGGGCTGGGTTAGCTAAACCACTAGCAAGAGTCTGGGGCCGCACTTGGACTTCACGCTTCAAGACGGGGTTCCTCAACCTCAGACTGCTGATAGCTGGGTCCAGACGACTCTGCCGTGGGAGGGCTTGTGCCCTAGAGGATGCTCAGCGGTGTCCTTGGCCTCTCCCCGCTGGACTCCCATCGCATCCGCGCCCCTTGCTGAGGCCTCCAGACCTCCACGTGTGTTCCAGCTTGAGAGCTCTAAGAATACGAGGCTCTCACGATGTCCTCCTGGGACGAGGACTTTGGTGGGCCCGGCCCCGCGGCTGGTGTTCCCAGATTGACTTTCTCATCACAGAAAATGAACTGCTTAAAAATGAGCGAGGAAAGAGTTGGCAGGGATTTTTTCCCCCCCTTCTGGACAGACGGGCTGGATAGTTACCATATATTATCCAGCTAATCTTAGGGCCTTTAAAAACAGGAGAAACCCAAACGAAAGGTATTTCAACAATGTTTTCTGCCTAATTTTAACTGTGTGGCCGAGACAGGGCAGGAGACAAAGGACAGCTGAGCAGAAGGTACTTTGGGGATCATCTAATTCAGTCTCCTTCTTTTATGAAGGAGCAGACTGAGGACCAAGAAAGTTAAACTATGAGTTAATTTATAGCAAAGCCAGAAATAGAAACCAGATTCCTCAGCTTTATTTTTCCCCCCCTCTGTGACTCATTCTTTATTTGATCCCCAGAACTTAACTTTAGAAAACTTTTTCTACCTAAGAGATGCATGTTCCTGGGTAAGCAGGATATAGAATAAATAGCACCAGATCTGAGACTGGAGGAGCCCTGAGGTCTGCCTCGATGTCCTCATCTATAAAACGAGGACAACACTCCTCGTCTAAATTGCTCTGAAGATTAAGACTGACAATTGTAAGTGATGAAGTACTGTACAAAAGGCGATTCGAGATGGACTTTGTATGTCAGGAAGAAGGAATATTACATGGTTTCTCTTGTTATCCTCATGAGCGGTGCCATCCAAACACAACTATGAGGACGGGGCTCTGAATAGGAAGGGATCAGGTCAGAGGGAGAACAGAGGCCCGTGCCCTGGATTAGTAACATCCACAGTGAAGACGGCACAGAGGCTTGTCGGAAAACTGGCTCTGAGGGTCTCATTGTGCCTTGGTGCCATGTTTATTGTCCTGTGAAGAGTTGGGCCAACCTGGGTGGATGGGAAGTAATAGGAAATGCAGTCATCTCTGCTTATCCACTGGACATATGCTCCAAGACCCCCAGGGGTGCCTGAAACCGAGGACAGAGCTGAACCCTGTATGTACCGTGTTTTCCCCTATACCGACATGCCCGTGTTAAAGTTCAATTAACAGCTGAGACACAGTAAGAGGTGAACTGCAGCGACTAATAATAAAATACAAGTTATCACAATATATTGCATTAAAGTTAGGTGAACATGGTTTCTCTCTTTCTCTCAAAATAGCTTATTGTCCTGTCCTCCCCCTTCTTGTCATGGTATGAGATGATAAAATGCCTATGCAGCAAGATGACGTGAGGTGGATGACACCAGAGTTGTGGCCTGGCGTTAGGCTACGATTCACCTCTGACGCTGGGTCAGGAGGAGGAGCATCTGCTTCCCACAGGCGGTTGACCGCAGGGAGCTGAAATCGAGAAAAACAAACCGCGGATAAGGGGTCTACAGTATGTGTGCACTGGCCGCCTGCCAGTGGGCACTATTGTATTAGTTCTGTCTGTACGTGAGTTCCTGTGGGACACTGAGCAAACCAACTGGGAGGCCATGTCCGTGCCATTCAGGGAGGGAATGAAGAGGTGGAACAGAATATGGGGAAATGCCACAAGCACAGAAGATCCCAGGACTTAGGTGGGTTGTGAGAGCGTGTCCGCAGGAGGGTGACGAACGTGCTGAGGAAGTGGGAAGCCACGTCATGGCAGGGTTAGTCCAGAGAAGATGGCCCTCATCTGTCTCGCTATTGTGTAAACAAGGAATTTGGTTCGTTCTATAAGACACCCAAGTATGTGGGCAAAGGCTGAATAAAACCTGATGATAGAGCTCAGCTCAGACTCCATCCAGCTCAGCTCTCCCAGCTCAGAAAGAAGGAAAATTTGCCCCTAGCTCAGACCGCCCGGGGAGAGAGTGAGGTCCCTGTCCCTGAGGGAGCTCAAGCTTACAACGGGTGACCGCCTGGGCTTGATGCTTCAGAGAACATTTACTGCCCAGATGGGGCTTGACCTCCAGTGCACCTTCCTGACCGGAAATACTTTGAATGTGAGAAGCCTCAGCTCAGATTCCATCCAGAGACTTTTCTAGATCAGCTACCCACAGAAAACCCCAGAAGCAGGATTGGAAGCAGAAGGAGCTCAGAGGTCAGGGGCTCCTGATGGTCAGTGTTTAGGGAGAACAAGTGTTTCCTGCTACCAGGAAACCAGCAGTGTTTTAGAGCAGGGGCAGCGTGTGGACTCAAGGCAGGCTGGGAAGGCCCGCATGCCGGATGTTCGGTGAGCTCGAGGCCTGCTTTCAGTTAATCAGAGGACCATTTCCAAACAAGCCAGCACACACCAGGGTAAGGAATGGCAAATGACAGGCAAGGGCAGCCTGCCCTGAGACTTGCTTGCACGGCCAGGGTCGGAATGGAGATGGCGGGGTGAGCCCAGAGTGGACGGGCTGCAGAAGTCAGTTGTGGGGGAGGGGCCGCACATGATGTTGGCGATAAACCAAGACTGGACGGAGTTCAGATGGCAGGGGCTTGTGGTGTGAGCTTTCAAAGGGCTGGAAAGGATCCATAGGGCTGCCTGAATCCTTATTATTACTTTCTTTGTGGTGAATGCTGGTAGCACTTGGAGCTTAATGGTTTAAGGCATTCAAAGCAGTGGTTTGTGTATAAAGGGTTTACAGTGTATAGCGGGGGGAGAAAGTACCATGTGAAAAGAATGATGTTTTATGCACACACGCACGCACACATTCCCTTTCACACCCTTTGCCCTGTTTGCCCTGCCACTCTCGCCCACCAGAGCTGGGCTTTCACACCTCCCAAGGAGGGAAGCAGTGTAGTAACAGCCTCCGTCACTGATGGGAACCTAGAGCAGAAGACTGAGTGACTCGCTCAGGGTCCAGAATGTTAAGAGTAGGAACCAGGGATGTATCTCACCTCTGTGGATCCCCAAAGGTCCACGCAGTAGTCAAAACCAGCCCAGCTTATGCTGTCAGGCTGTCGATGGAGTTCAGGGTCAGGGGCTTTCTGCTTCGGATCAGGGAAAGCTGCATAAGGTGTTGATGGTACAGGTGGCCTCTGGTAGGGGAGAAATCTGGATCTGTCGCTGGTGCCCAAATTGGAAACGCTCTAGAGGTTGTGGTTTCCTTTGGAAGCATGGGAATGTCTTTCTGCGTGGGGACTTGGGGGCAGAGTTCACTCCTATGCCTCAAACCTGTGCTCATCACTTTGCAAGTCCTTCTGCGAGACCGTGTGATAGAGCTGAGTCCGCAGGGTTCTGGAACCCTCCTTGCAGCTCTAAGTGGCCGGGGTGGCCTGCTCTCACGAGGCTGTGCTGGACATCATTTCGTCATTTTATGGGGGAGGGGTGCCATTTGCCACGTTTGTGGCCAGCGTGGCTGACGTTTCCTGGACAGTCAGTTCGCATCACTCACTGTACTGAGCTCCTGATGGGCAAAATCTCCCTTAGTCCTCCGACAAGCCCTGGGAGGCAGATCCTATCATTTCCCTGTTGGATGGATAAAGAAAGAAGCGTCCTGAGGTTGAGTCACTGACCCAAGGCTGCGCAGCCAGGAAGTGGCAGAGCGGGGAGCCCACCCTCATTCCTGTCACACGTGCGTGAGCCCTTGTTGCCCTCGGTGAGAAACAGGCATGATAAGACACATCAGTGTTTTCTTCACCATCATCATGAACTGATGATCATTGTTTAGGAAACAACATTTGGAATAAGTGGGAGCTCTCATTTGTTTGAGGAGATGAGTAGAACAACAGACCCCAGTTTGCCGAGGGTTGTAGACCTCCACTCTTGGCAACATCAGGCTTTCCTTGTAAATGTTTGCTTTCTATGGGGAAAGGTGAGATGGATGTGACAGCGTTTCAGATACAACATCTAAAAAATTAAGAATTCCAGTTCTGAATAAGCCATGGTACCTTCGTGGCCAGAGCTACTCCGTGTGTGGTCTGTGGGGCTGCGAGGCCACACACCGTTCCTGGTCTGGGACAAGCATGGAGGTGGACAGGAAGCATTTAGGAACTTCTGGAAGGCAGTGAACAGTAATTTTATGGCTGTTGGATCTAGGAGCACAGAAGTGGAGCTTGTCTGTGTTTTCAAACACTTTGGTGTGTGTCCGTTAGCTCCCTGTTGGGTCTATCCCATGTGTTAGTGCTTCTCCCTTCCTCCCTCTCTCTCCCTCTGGTTTTCCAGTAACAGGGTTGTTTTGTACTTACTGATTTTCTTCTTGAATATTCTGACCTGTACACAACGTGTTGCTGTTGGTTAAAAATACTGCTGTCCTGGGGTTGGCATCTTCTGGGTAAATGTTGGTGTTCTCAATATCAGGGTGCCCTCGGATACATTTTGTGGGGTCCATTTGCTCTGCTCTCTTTCTCGCTTGCCTTGTTCCTCATTTCCTTCCACCAGCTCCCCCAACCCCTTGCCTTTGGCCCGATCGCCTTCTCTCCTGAGGGATGTTATTATACTTCTGTCCATCTTGACCTGTCGTGGGGTTTCTTCCATCCGCGAGTTTAGACCCCTCGTCTCATTACCCAGCTGCTTTCTCCAAGCCCTAGAGCATGTCACTGACTCTTCATGACGGATTGGCCCAGTTTCCCCTTCAGGCATTCAAACCAAGACCCACTCAGGCCCTGGGGCCAGGGGCCAAGCCGAGCGGTGGGAGGTGTGTCCCGGCTCCGAGATCCTGCTTTGGGACTGGGTGGCTCCACCC